AACAGTTGTTAGCAAACATCAATCCATGTTTATCCCTGTCTGTGCTATTGTTTCAGATTAGCAGTCTTTTAACAAAACGGTGTGTAAAGATCTCTGAAGAAAGTAAAACAGGGCTGCTGATCTCTCTTTTATACAGTTCACCACTCCCCTAGAGTATCATCATATTCTTCAGCATAAATCTCTAAACTCAACTGACGGATGTGATGTTCATTGATGACAATACTGCAATTTCTGAAAGAATTCGATAATCTAGATTATAACCTTGTGACACCTTGACATTCATTCAGCCCACATCGAACACTGTGTATTTAAATATGTATACATGTCATGACAAGTTTGTTATCGTTCTTGAAGTTGTAGCGCAATGAACGGAGCTAGATAATTATTTTCATTATCAAACATTGTATTGACAATGTTAGAATATTTGTATTTGTGCTTTTCAATTCTTTTCCAACTGTGATCCCATTTTAAGACTTGAAAATTTTCACAGTACCTCAGTGAGAATTGAGAACAAGAGCCTGTTCGAGTACAACTTAATCAGTGCTCCACAGCAGCCCTTAACCTCAGAGCTTGTGACCCCTAAATTTCAGCTCGGAAACCTAACTTTGGGAAGCCCTGGTTTTGAGGCTGAGACATTTTTTTTCTCTCAGGAGTTTAGCAGATAGTTGCATAAAGCTAATATTTAGAAAACTGACAAATTGCCTCGTGAACTGCATATCTATCCAGCAGGTTATAGGCCTAGAGAAAGTAAAAGAAACATAGCTTGGTTTTCTTGAAGCAAGAAAAAAAAGTCAATATTATTCCAATTTTTTTTGTTTGTTTATTGGGGTTATAAAGAGTTCTCCACACTGAAAACTACTTGGAAGACTTTTACTTCGAGGTTGATCTCAAAATAGTTGTCACTTTCAAATCCAAATATTAGAATACTGGTGACTTCACAAACAGTGTCAATGATTTTTTCAACTATATCTTTGTTGGGGGTGAGAGGGTGAATGAGCAGCTGTTTGATGAAAAAGATACACATTTTTATTTGTGTTTGCTGTTGATGTGACTCTATTGATCGTATTTTACTTCTGATAATCTTCTGTTTGTCCATTTAATTAGTAAATTGTTTCTTACTGTATTTCTGGGGTATCCTTTTCAGTGTTCTCATCACTTATTTTTGAGTGTTTTTGTATATTTTAGTGACAGTGATTATACAAGAAGATGAATCTGATCTCGCTCATGCCATATTTCCAAACCCAGAACTAGCCATTTGACGCTGGTAGACATTTTGTGTAAAATGGTTAAAATGTACAACCCGCTAAAGTAGAAATGAAGGTGGGATCAGAGGAAATTTAATCCATAACTGTTTTAGGTTTATGTGGGAACTCAACGACAATCATACATAAATTAGGTCAAAGTCTTGGGTGCGTAACCATTTGGTGCAAAGTTTTTTTTTGTACTTTACATCTGTGCATGCGTTATATGTAAGTTAGAGCAGTTAGGGTTTGTTTTCTTTTTAACTGTCTTGAAACCCAGGTCCCATATCCACTGGATTCTTCCAGCTTTGGAACAGCTGCTTCTAGATGTAACCCATGTGCTTTAGACAGCTTTATGTGCGTCTGCTTCAGACACTGTGCCTTGGCTGTGTTTTTGTATAATGATTTGCTGGTGCACTGGCTTTGCTGCTTGCTCACTGCTTTTTTTTTGTTCTTTGTTTTTCATCTTCACAATTTTTTTACATCCTTCCCTTTTTCTCCTTCCTTTTTTTATCATTTCTTCATCACTTTGAAAGGTTGTCAAACACTCCCAAGTCGTCCTCGAGGTACATTATGATGGTTTGATTTGGTTTTTGCCTTTCTCCAGTTCAGTCTGGACAGCATGAAAAATGTTTTTTTTTATTTAGTTACTCCCAATGAAAGCAACCAATAGGATTGTTGTAGAGGACAACTTATTTGGTAAATAGTAGCACAGTAAACCGTGATTCAGTTTATAAATTCACTTTCTGGATTGGTTGTAATAGTTAACGTTATGGACATATTTTGTCCCACTGTATTGATGCCATGTTTATCATAATGCTGTTGTCTGTTCTAACTAATCAATTATAGTTTTCCACAAATGGGCTGCCAAATTTAATAACATTACAATAATCAGTGCACTTCATTTAAACCATATGGGCAGGTCCTGAGCATATGATGAGGCAATCTGTAAATGCAAGCTCTTTTTGTTCCTTTTCAGTTTTTTATCGATTTTAGTAACTGCTTAATCTACAAAAAGAATTCCAAAAAACTTTACTATTCTTTCTTCTCCACTCCGTCTCATTTCTTGTCCCACCTATACTTATGTACACTGATTTCTGAACCCTGCCAGATCTTCTGCACAATTTTGAAGAAAGCCTTGGAATATATAATAGGTTACATGCCGTAAGATCTAAATGGATTCAGATTACAGAATATCTGTATGCAACTTTGAGAACAATAACTATGGTATATGTCCCTATCCTTATGGCCCCAGAGATTACAGCATCACACAAGCAAGCACTTGTGTTAGGCAATTCCTCACTTAATTTATGCAGTACTGCATTGATGATGACAGTGTTTGAAACTGACGTGGATCTAAAGAGCCAGTGATTAAATCCTTGAGATTTGTCTCTGTTCTAAGCACTCCCACAAATAATGTAACACAGTCTCATCCAGATTTGTTTCCTATAAATTCAAGAATCTCAAAGAGCAACCTTTACACTGACAATTGCGTATGACTGCGTTATTAAAAGTCCTTGTAAAATAATCATTACAGCTGCTGTTTACAACACTTGTAAGGACGTCAATGAAACAAATTATCATGTTGACTTACTAGCCCAATTCCAAACTAGATGCCTTGGTAAATAACCCATTTTTACTGTGTAATTTATAATTTTCTGAATCAACTGACTGTTGATTTGAACTTTTTTTTAATGAGAAGATGGTTAGCCTCATAATTACTGTAAAATACAACTGGCTATCTGCCTTATATCTCAGCTGCATTGCAATCTTTTCAGTGCTGTTGATGTTAAATCCAGGCTAGGAATATTTTTGAGAATACAGTTCATTTCCTTGTTTCAATATGTCTGCCTCTTAATTTCGGTCTGGTGTCAAAATGACATGCTATAAAATTAATTGATTGCATTTATAATCCTGTGAAAAGGAGATGTATTAGGACTGTGCTAATTGTATAGTACCAGGCCACTGATGAAGAATAATGTTTCAGCTTATGCCCTGTTATAATAAGGAGGAGTTAACTGTACATAATTTAATTTGCTCTTATAAAAAACAATAATCAAAATTCTCTTACTGTATATATTATTAAATTCTGTTTTACACTAAATAAACCAAAGTCACATTAAGGTACAGAAAAGTAGCACTTTACATTTGCTAGCTCACTAAGTTAACAGTTCAGTCCCACAACATTAGGTGACAAATGAAGAAACTTTCATTTCCCAATGCTGCAGTTTCTTGATGTCTGTCTTTCCTTCTCCTCCTCCTCGCCCACTGCCTCCCCCACATCACCACTAACAAGTGCAAAATTTACCAAACATGCTGTAACGATGTTGGTTATCATAGTCTATGCTGCAATTCCTGCCATTTCATTATTTTCCATGGTTTACAGGTCACATCTTTGGAACATGTTCATTAACAGTTAGAAAAATTTCTGTGATCAAACCTATGCAGATATCACCTGAATAAGCAGTGTGCCTATTGCTGGCCATTTCTTATTTGGTTTAATGGAGTGATGACCAGATTTATTTCAAACAGACCTGTTAAATCCAAATCTATCTCTGCTTAAATTGGGATTGAAATATCAGTTCAATGTATTTCTGTCAAAGGCCGCAAATCTCTCTGAATCCCATCACTGCTGCCCATCTTTGTTTGCAGTTTGTATTTTCCCATCAGGACTGAGCAATGTCCTATTTAATTGAATCTCACAGTGATGATTTTAAGTTATACTGGGGCTGCATAGCTTTTACTGCCAGCTTTATGGCTTGTATGGTGAACAGTTAAATATTTCCAGCAACATTCTGCTGTAAAATAAACTTCTCAAATGAGGTGCAACAAGATGATATATCAATGCAACATATAAAAATCATTTTAGGCCGTTGACAGAATGGGATCGAAATCTCACTACTGCTTTTTACACACTGGTTCATGCACTTTTGTAAAATTTCTATCCCAGTTATTTTAATAAGTCTTTAACCCCTTTAGAGAACATTGTTAAAATAATGCATAAGAAGCTTTGGCATAGGGGACTGGTGCACCAAAAACAGCATTCAACAGAATGTGAACTTGAGTCACAGCATTGCCTTTTTACTTCCAGGATTTTTGTGAAAATATTGAAATCAAAGTTTTAATTTTCATTGCTTATTTAATATATATTCATAGTGAAAGACTTCAAATTCAAAATGCTTGCACCATTGTATAAGTTGCACATCAATTTGACAGGTCACAAAGAGCTGATATATAGTAAACAGCCCAATTTTCACAACTATCTTAAGAATACTGTCGGATACTATTTAGTCTCACCCACCCTAGCTAACGGCAGTAGCAGTGTTGGGTTACAGTTTAGTGATTGAGTTGCATTTTTGAAATCGAATTAAATGCCCATATTTTCATCTAATACACAACTAGGAATAATTAATACTGTCATTTGCTGTAAAATAAAGATATCCCAATTCACTTTATTGAAAGTGACTTCCTTATACTGCAACACACTGATAAATCAAAAAAGCTCTCCTCCACTCATGTACCACTCCACTCATAATTAATGTGAAAGATAGTTTAAGCAAATGTGTTTTTAATGGGCTTGTGAATATTGCTGGTTGTACCCAATAAGTCACGATGACACCATTTTAAATGATAGTTATGTGGCACAATACCTAGACACAAAGTTGTTCTCTACCATCATTTTCCTATAGGTGTTTTTCATGTAGTTTCCTACCCTGGCATTATGTGTGTTTTACCCCTCATGCATCCTGTGCACTGCAGGTCCAGCGACGTGGGCAATGGCCACCTCCAAACCGGACATCATGATCATCCTCCTGAGCAAGCTGATGGAAGAAGGAGACATGTTTTACAAGGTGGGACAAACTAGAAATTAATTGGCATGGGGGCCAAACAGTACAGCTGGTTGAGGCATTCCCCTTTACCTCTGTGGAATGTAAGATCATTTTAATTTTCAACAGCTGCATAAGTTAATTTTCTACTTTATTAATGCTTCTCTCATTTCTCTTCTTTCACTTTCCTTAAATTTTATAATCTTTCCATCATTATGTTATCATGCCCCTCTGCACTATATTTCTTCAAGGCTTCTGGAGAGAGTTAGTATCACTTCAAATTGTGTTCCCAGCTTTTATCTGAAATGACATAACTCTAGGTTTAGCTGCCACAGGCAGAAGTCAAACAATATTGGATTGGGCCTCAGATATATGGGACAAGTTCCTGATCCACTACTACTTTATCTTTCTCAATTACATGCACACAAAGAACAGCCCTAATTTGTGCTCATTGCCAGTGTCCAAATTTTGCACTTTCCTTACTGGAAAGGAGTTGAAATGCCTTTTTAAAGTATATAAGCGAATCATTTCGGGGCTGTTTGGTGCAGTGGTAGTATCCCTACCTCTGGACCAGAAGGTCCAGGTTCATGTCCCGTCTGTTCCAGAGTTATGTCGTAACATGTCTGTAAAAGTTGATTTAACATATCTAAAACTGAATTAATTAATGTTCAAGTGTTTAATAAACAATTTGAATTGTAATTATACGATCCCTTTAGTTGATGTTGTTTGAAGCCTCCTCCTATTCCTTCAAATAATTCTGTGCTTCAGTAATCCTCTATGTCAACTTACTATAACATCAATCTTGTTCTGTCAGTCCTGCTTTTACTCTATTATGTTCCCATTTTGCAGCAAAATTGAGAGAGGACAGAATCATACTTTCTCAGAATTTGAGGATTAACTTATCTGTTTTTCTTGCCAAGACTGCAATATTTTATCATGCCTTTCTCAGATGAGGTCACATATTTCAAAATGATTTTCCATTGCTAATACACATACAAATTAATCAGAATTAGTTTCAAAGAGCTACCTGTACCTGACTGAAATTTTATCAAGTCTTAAATCGTTGGTGCCAAAATGATAATCTCAAGGCACAAAATTACTTAACAATTTTATTTAGGTTTTATTTGATTGAAAAAGGAGGTGGCGGACAGAATTGGATAACCTTGCTTGGAAAGCATTACGTTAGTATTTACAATGTAGAAGCAGATCATTTGACCCAACAGCTTATGCTCCCAACCTCCCCAACTAAGGCCATCAATGCCTCTGATGATTCTTTTCTCTGTTGTAATAATTGAGCTTCCTCTTAAATGAATCTGTGGTCATTTCAACTACTCATTGTGGCAGCAAATTACTATACATTCTATCCAGCTTCTGGGTTTAAAAAATAATCCTCCTGAATCCTATCATGTCACCTGAGTCTTTCTTCTAGAGCAAAGAACCACCTGCTCACCCTTTTCTGATAAGCATAACTTCCCAGTTCTAGTATCATTTGAAGTATTTTGTTTTGTACCTTTTCCAGTGCTTCTATTTGTTTTTCATTATAGAATCTTTCACAATACTCATATGTGATCTAAACATGATTTAATGCATGTTTAACATATAACTCTGGTTTTCAGTTCTATTCCTCTAGAAATGAACCTCAGCTATCCCTGTTTTTCTTTTAATGGCCTGTTAAAAGAGTGTCCTTCTCAAAGTGACTTAAATGTGAAGAGCTTATTGGTTAGAGTTGTTAGATTGCCTTATATTTAAATTTGTGAATATTGAATTACCAAAATACAGTAGTAGAATTTTGGACCACATCTGAATGACACAACCTGAAGTGTTAAGCAAAATTGCATCAGAGGACAAATGGAATGGATGTCCTTTTGGAATGTTTGAACACAAACTGTTACCAACAATTGAAATTTAGAATTAATCTAAATAAACGAACATGGAGCTAGTCAGTAAGTGAATGTGATAATGCGCTCTATCGCTGAGTGGTATGACGTGTGATTTCTTGCATCAGGTGATCTGACTACCTGAGAGTGCCAACCAAAGATTAGAAAACCCTCAGGAGTGTGTACAGTTTTCTTCCTTTACTTAGTACCTAATTGAAGAAATATTAAAGGAAAACGAATGACATGGAAGGAATATGGGAAAAGATCTTTTATATATTTTTAAAATCAGAACACCAACCTGTTGCAGAGGAGCCATGGGATGTGCCTACATTGTTCCAATATGCTTTTACACTATTGGAGTTGCAATATAAAGGCCACAGGAGTATAGTTCCTAGAACACTCTAGCATGCTCCCTGGCACCCGGTGTCAGAGCATCATATGTGTAGTCAGCCATTTGTCTTGTAAGACGTGTCTGACACCTGGTGGTTCAGCTTTAAATTTCCATTAAAATTCCATAAACACAGTAGAAAGGAAGATGAATCAGACCGGGAAAAGCATCAGTGCTTTTAATAACCCTGTACAGCTTGTGTCATTGCCAGGATTTGTATCTCTTTGCTGTGGGTTACCTAAACTGGCTTTCTGATTTGAGTAACTTCCAGGGTGTGGTTAGACAGTCTTTTGGAGAACTGAACATGTGTCTGGACCTATGGCATTTAACCTCTCACCACATTATGGGATCTGACAACATTCCAACAATTGTACTAAAGACTTGTGCTACAGAACTTATTGCGTCCCTACTGAAACTGTCTTAGACCAGCTACAACACTGGCATCTACCCGGCAATGTAAAACATGTATATCCTGTGAACAAAAAGCAGGACAAATCCAATCCAGCCAATTACTGCCCCTTAAATCTTCTTTCAATCATCAGTAAAGTGATGGAAAGTGTCATCAACAGTGCTATGAAGCAACGCTTGGTAAGCAGTAACCTGATCACTGACACCCACCTTGGGTTCTGCCAGGATCACTCAGTTCTGGACCTCATTACAGCCTCTGTTCAGAATTCCAGAGGTGAGGTGAGAGTGATAGCCTTTGACATCAAGGTCACATTTGATTAAGTGTGACATCAAGATTCCCAACAAAATTGGAGTCAGTGGGAATGAGAGGGAAAGCTCTCCTGTGGTTGGAGGCATACCTGGCACATAAGATGATTGTTGATGTCAGAGATCAATCATCTCAGCTCCAGGGCATCTCTGCAGGAGTTCCTCAGGGAAGTGCACTAGGCCCGATCATCTTTAGCTGTTTCATCAATAATCCTCTCTCGCTCACTCTGTCTCTCGCTCTCTAGATATTGCACAATTTTCAACACCGTTCACACTCTGTTCAATGCAGCAGGACCTAATGACATGTTTACTATCTACAAGATAGACTGTCAAAATTTAGCAAGACTCTTTAAGACACCTTCCAAACCCACAACCTCTAGTATGTAGAAGGTCAAGGGCAGCAGATACATGGGAACACCACCGCTACATGTTCCCTGCAAGCCACTCCCCATCCTGACTTGGAAATGAATTGCCGTTCCTTCAGTGTTGCTGGGTCAAAATCCTGGAATTCCCTCCCTAATGGCATTGTGGGTGTACCTACAGCACATGGGCTGGAGAGTTTCAAGAAAGCAGCTCACCACCACCTTTTCAAGGGCAACTAGGGATGGGCAATAAATGCTGACCCAACCAATGATGTCCATACCCCATAAATTAATAAAAATCAAAACTGTGGCTTTTTCTGCAGGTGGGAATTGTCTGTACATTCATCTCCTATATCGAAAGTCAGTTTGGGTATTGATTAAAAAGAAACAGTTTGTCAAAAAAATTGTCTAGCATTTACCAGGACAATTCGCCAGGATACTAATTCTTATGAAAGAAAGTGTGTAAGCTTGGAGGAGTAAAGATTTGGTAATTTTTTTTCTTTTCGCCGATTTTGTTCCAGATCTAATCCATTAAAAAAACTAAATTCTATGATTCTAACTCCCATTCATCATTTTTATTAACTCCTCTGTTTTCTCTTCATTCTGTCCAAATAATTCAGCTATCTGGCTAAAATAAGAAGCAGAATAGAGATATATTGGATGGTAAAAGTTACCTTAGATGAGTGTTTCAAGGATTGTCTGTAACGTCTTCCAGCCCTGCAGTCCTCTGGATATTCAGCACTCTTCCACTCCACTCTTGCCTTTTCATCTTTTGTGTTGCTCAATTATTGAAAGCTGTGCCTTCTCGTACCTTGCACCTAACTTCTGGAATCCTTTCGTAACTTCTCAGCCACTTGACTTTGCTTGCCTTCTTTAAGACTCCCCTAAAACCAACTGCTTTGCCAAAGTATTTATTCACTTGACGTAATATTTCCTTATTTAACTCCGTGCCAAACGTTATTTAATAATGCTTTTGTGGTGCCCTTGGGATGTTTTACCATGTTAAAGGTACTATGTAATAAATTGTTATTGGCAGTAGTTTAACTGTTAAAACTATTCATGATGATGTAGAAGTTTGTTCCTTCAGTGTCGTAAACTGCATCTTCTATTAATCACATGAAATACAGGGATAACTAGCCATTTGGATACAGAACTGGCTCGAAGGTAGACGACAGAGGAGTGAGTGTTGCTTTTCAGACTGGAGGCCTGTGATCAGTGGTGTGCATAAGGGTCGGTGCTGGGTCCACTGCTTTTTCACCATTTATATTAATATGAACATAGGAGGTACGGTTAGTAAGCTTTCAGATGACACCAAAATTGGAGGTGTAGTCGACAATGAAGAAGGTTACCTATTAGTACAACGGGATCTTGATCAGATGGGCCACTAGGCTGAGGTGCGGCAGAAGGAGGTTAATTTCGATAAATGTGAGGTGCTGCAATTTGGAAAGGCAAATCAGGGCAGGACTCATACATTTAATGGTAAGATCCTGGGGAGTATTACTGAACAAAGACCTTGGAGTGCAGGTTCATAATTCCTTGAAAGTGGAGTCACACCTATATAGGATAGTGAAGAAGGCATTTGGTATGCTTGCCTTTATTGGTCAGTGCATTGAGTACAGGAGTTGGGAGGTCATGTTGAGCCTGTACAGGACATTGGTTAGGCCTCGTTTGGAATACTGTGTTCAATTGTGGTCTACCTGCTATAGGAAGGATGTTGTGAAACTTGAAAGGGTTCAGAAAAGATTTACTAAAATATTGCCAGGGTTTGAGCTATAGGGAGGGGCAGAATAGGCTGGGGCTATTTCCCTGGTGAATCACAAGCTGGGGGATGACCTTATAGAGATTTATAAAATCATGAGGGGCATGGATAGGGTAAATAGAACAAGGCCTTTTCCCCAGGGTGGGGGGAGTCCAAAACTAGAGGACATTGCTTTAAGATGAGAGGGAAAAGATTTAAAAGGGACCTAAGGGGCAACTTTTTCACGCAGAGGGTGGTGCATGTATGGAATGAGCTGCCAGAGGAAGTGGTGTTGGCTGGTACAATTACAATATTTAGAAGGCATCTGGATGGGTATATGAATAGGAAGGGTTTAGAGGGGCATGAACCAAATGCTGGCAAATGGAACGAGATTAATTTGGGATACCTGGTCAGCATGGGCGAGTTGGACCAAAGGGTCTGTTTCCCTGCTGAACATCTCTATGATTCTAATTGATCACAAAGTGGCTGCCTGGCCTCATTCATCTGAATGGAATCTTGTAGAGAGGGAAGGGGCAAAAGTATTTAGATTTTTACCTTCTGGTCTCAGTGCTGCTTGGAAATTTGTTAAGTTCATTGGGCTCATTGAAATCAACATGTTTTGCAGGTAAGTTGTAACCCCATGAACATCTGACCAGAGAAAAGATGGTTTTATGTTTTGGGTAGATAACCATTAGAACTCGACATAAGATGAAATGAGAGCCTCTTTATAGGTGTGACACAACTAAGAAGGAGTGACACCAAACTATTACAAAGAGCCTGTAATACTTTAGCAGCATGTAAATAGAATTCTTTCAAAGCTTGAAAGAAGTGAAATAGATCAATTGAAATATCATCTAATGCATTTGAAAGTCAAGGAGTGGATAAAACTGTTCCACAGTTAAAAAAAAACGTAAAAAGTCAATAGAAGAAATAGGGAAGAACATGAAGGTTCTAAAGTCAGACCAGAACGCGACAAAATATTAACAAGATACTAAGGCAAATTCTGTAAATTCAGAGGAAATATGTAATTGAAGGAATGGAGCTACAGTATTATGCTCAAAGTTGAACTTTGTTGGAACAGTATCAGAATCAAAGATGGAAAGGTTAGTGTGTGAATGGGAGACAAAGCTAGGTTATGACTCACAAGGAGATTTATAGTTCTTCAGAGTGAAGCAGTCTGGGGAGACAGTGGTGTTAAGGCAGTGTCACTGGACTAATGATCCAGAGTTCCAGGCCAGTGCCCTGGGGAGATGGAATACATCAGTTAGTAGAATATAAATTCAATTAAGATAATCTCAGTAATGGTAAGCAGGAAATTATCAATGATTGTTGTTAAAAACCCATTTTGTTTACTAATGTCTTTTAAGGAAGGAAATCTTTTTTCCTTTACCAGGTCTAGCCTATATTTAACTACAGATTCTTTAGCTATGTAGTTGACTCTTAACTGACCTGACCTCTGAAATGGCATACTAAACTACTCAGTTCAAGGGAAATTAGAAATAAGTAATAAAAGCCGGCCTCATCAGTAACACACATCAAAGAAAGTCAGCCAGTCTGAACATGTTGTAGAAGTATCAGTGAATATAGGCACTAGGGTATAAAAAGTGCATATAAATTGATGTCTCACATCTAGAAATTTCAAACTTGTAAGATGATTAATATTCTGTTTGATTTGTTGTCTCATTCATATTTGTATTCTTGTACTAAGATTGTTATTTTTCATGATAATTGGTTTCATTGTGAATGTACAGCGGGTTACTACTCCTGACCAGTGTGTTAATAGACGTCATGGGAATTAGCAGCACTGTATCACAGCGTGAGATGAGTGCTCCTGAAAAAAGATTGCACACCGCAATTATAAGACCAAATCCAATTTATTATTAGGAATTATCAAGGCATCAGGCAGCCCCATTTCGGATACAAAAATAAAGTGGCTGAAGCATGTTTTGCAGTTTGATTTTGGAATAACTTTGCAGGAAGTAAAACCAAGTAATAGGATTTGAAGTATGTCCTCAGATAACATTACTTTTGGTCCCTCTCCATCACATGAGAATAACTGAAGCATAGGATTGATTGCAGTTCTATTTGGGACAGTATGGTTTGATTTATTTCTTGGCATCAGCACATTTTGAGAAATCTAGAAATATGAGGTGAGTTCTCCAGTTAATCCCTAAAAGTGCCTTTAGGTAGTCTCTAAAGAGATCCCAATACATCCTTCTAGTCAATCCTGAGATTTGACCCCAATTAATCTCAAACCCTGACTCTAATTTAATCCCCAAAGCAGATTCCAATTCCAATTAAATACTTTTAATTTCAACTTCCTAGTTATCAAACCTCAAAATGTAATTTATTGAATTTGGTATTTCAGTAAAGCCTACTCTGTTTCTAAAAATATTTTCTCCTCTCCTCTGATCAGAAAGGAAAGGTAAAGGAAGCAGCACAGCGATACCAATACGCATTGAAGAAATTCCCACGAGAAGGGTTTGGAGAAGATTTGAAAACTTTTCGGGAGCTGAAGGTGTCCTTGTTGCTGAACCTCTCACGATGTCGAAGGAAAATGAATGTATGTCTAAAGGCGTCTTTGATAAATAGGAAGCACAGGGTGCTTCCCTTAAAACAGTAGTGGCCTGATCTAACGTATTAGATTCCTTTACAGCAGGATAAAAGATTTTGTCATGCATTATAACTACAGTTCACGTACGTAGGCTTCAGTGTATCAATTTTGTGTCCATCAATATGTATTTTGTACATAACAGAAAATGAATCAGACTAATAAGTAGGTTAAGAATAGAATGGTTTTACAAATTAACATTACTGGTGTACATATCTGGACTTTACATGTAGAGGTTAGTGATTACTGTTAAGCCTTTCTGGCCCCAGTGTATGAGGTATGCACTGACCTTAGTACCTTGATTCCTAATAATTCCAAGTAGCTTGAACCAAAGGTAATAATCCTAAATTCTTCCCCATATGTCATCAGTAATGCATGATGCCTCTGTAATAATTTTCTTAAAAGAAATAATTATTTTTAAATCATGAGAAAAAAATTAACCGTGCTCGTCAGTTTTTGCAATTTTGCTGACAAAGGATCACTGTCAGTGTTCCGTTCTCACAACATGACAGTGCTGAATTAATAAGGACCTGCATCTGGGTGTAGCAACCATGTACTAATGCAGCCACAGCCCATAGCAACTGGTAAAAACAAGTATGCAGCAGTAAGTAAACACTGGTTACAATAGAGGGCTGTTGTGATACGACTCTGAAATCAAGGTTGTCTTCTATAGTGTATTCATGAGCAATGTTCCAACCTGAGGGGCAGGAGTTTACCTTATTCCCTAAAGCTGTAGTTAATATTTGCAATGTCATTCCTTAGGAATTAATTTATTTCAAAAGAGATTTTTGCCTTATTGTCATAAGCTTTTATATACAGACTGAGCACCAGCAGGCAAGTAGTGTCTACACCGTTGGCCTCTGACATCTCTTGCTGAAAGCAATTGCTTGCTAACGACATTAGCAATCAATACTGCAGATGATTTTCTCATATGATTGCTGTGATATGATTTATATTAATGGATTTTATTCAAGGTTGTAATAATTGTAACTGCATCCTTTGCTTGAATTATCATGATCAGAGTTTAAATTGACCTATTGGTCAGGATTTTGAGTAGAAAAATGAGTTTGATGGTCCCCTGTCTGCTACGAACCAGCCTAAATCAGTCATTTGGGATTTGGTACAGCTGGAAATTATGGCCTTGGCTGTTGTCTAACACAGCAGCTCCTGTCACTCTAGCTGACTGATGGCCTCAACAATAACATGTCAAATATCACTCTACAGTACTGCACCTCATTTATTCAGTTGAATTGGATGCAGGGTATTAAAGACTTAAATAGAACAGAGTTTAAGAACTTTCATTCCAGTTTCAGTTATGATGGTATTTGAATTTGTAAAAGGAATTTTTGTGATGCTGCATGTGAATTGAAGCATATGCATTTACAAAACTCGTGATACTGCCTAATAATAGCATGTTCAGGTCAATGAGGTACTTTGAAAGAATAATGCTATTTTTTAACATAAAACTACATTTGTATTTATTCGCCTGTCTTTTAAGGTTTCCTCAGTAGGGTGCATCATTTCACAACTGACTGGGCAGTTATATGATGTGCCACTCAAGATATGTTTTAACTTGACATTAGTATTCAAACTCAGGACTGCATTAAATCCATCCATCTTGCTCCTTCCTCCATGGCATTTTTTTTTACTGAAAACTCCCTTGAGGACATAATTGAGATCAGGGACTAGCCATGTGGGCAGTCAAAAATTTGAACTTGTAGCTTCACTATTGTGACAGATCATATTGATGCACTTCTGAATTCCTGGTACAGTCATTGAGAAATTAAATCATGGGAAAAATGTAATATACTCTCTTGTGTTATGGAAAGAAACTTGCACATGATAATGATGAACTGCTTTTCTAAACTAAACCCCAAAATATCCTGTAATTTATTTCTGCCAGTTTGAAACTGAGGTTTGACAGGTTATAAATTCAGGTTTTATTTTCTGTAATAATCTTTGAGGCATTTTATCCACTGTCTTCTGGAAATCTAAGGACAACACATCCAAGTTATCCTTTATCTGCAGTTGGTTCCTGAAAAGCTCCAATAAATTGATTATTCGTGATTTCCTTTTCACAAATCTGTTAACTCTACCCAATTACCTGCACTTTTCTTGGTGCAGTATTATTATGTCTTCAATAATGGTTTCTAACGTCCTCTTTATCACCAATTAAGCTAACTGGCCTGTAGTTTTGTTTCTGCGCCCTTCCCTTTATGAATACAGGAGTTAACATTCATTGCTTATCAAAATAATGGAAACTTCTCCCGATCCAGGGAATAGTGGAAAAATTAAAACCAGCATATCAACTATCTCACTAGGCACTTCTTTTAAACTAGAAGCTCAAACAAGGGATGGCACAGTGCTGGGGAATGAAGGTGGACAGGTATTGGAGATGGCCGTGGAGGATCATTTCAGTGAAAGCGACCACAACAAAGTATGTTATGGAAAAGCAAACAGATGGTCTGGAAAAAAGGGATTTGGATTAGGTAAAGGCAGATTTTGGGTCTACATTTTTAAGCAAGAGGAGAGAGGTTTAAAAAAAAAAGACTTGGGGGGCAATTTTTTTTTACATGGAGAATGGTTCGTGTGTGGAATGAACTTCCAGAGGAGGTGGTGGATGCGGGTACAATTGCAACATTTAAAAGACATTTGGGTAAGTACATGATATAGGAAAGGTTTGGAGGGATATGGGCCAGGAGCAGGCAGGTGAGACTAGTTTAGTTTGGGATTATGGTCGGCATGGACTGGATGGACCGAAGGGTCTGTTTCCATGCTGTATGACTCGATGAGACAGGATTCGGCTAAAGTAGACTGGAAACAGCTACTTGTGAACAAAAATTTACAGCACATGGGGGTGCGGGGGGGATGTGTTGGGGGAGCACAGTGTTCAAAAAGAAACTGGGGAGAGTACAGACCCAACATGTTCTCTTCAGGGTGAAATGTAGGAGTAACCAACCAAAGAGAACCATGGATGTCTAGGAATATTCAGAACTACGTAAGCAGGAAAAGACAAGCTTTTCACAGATGTAAAGGGAGCAACTCAATGAGGCTTGTGTGGATTATAGAAAATGCAAGGGAAACGTAAGAACTCAATTAGAAGAGTAAAGATGGGCCATGAACAAGCACTAAAGCACTGGTAAATAAAATTAGGGAGAACCCCAATATATGCTGTAGGTAAATTGAGGGGAAGAGGATAACCAGGAAAAAGTAGGGCCCACCAAAGGAGCAATCTGTGTGAGAAATCAGATGAGTACCTCACTTCTGTCTTCACTCTGGAGAAGGAGGATGCGGGGAGAGGGACTGTATGGTTCCTGAGCAGATTGGTATAGTGAGTGAGGAGGTATTGGAGGTTTTGGCAGGCTTAAAAGTGGACAAATTACATCAGGATAAATTATATCCCAGGCTGCTCCTGCAGGAGGTTAGGGAGGAAATCACAGGGGCTCTGACCCAAATTTTTAATTTCTCTCTGGCCACAAGGGAGATACCAGAGGACTGGAAGACAGCTAATATGGTTCCATTTTTCAAGAAGGATTGTAGGGATAAGCCAGGGAATTACAGACCAGTGAGCCTTGCATCAGTGGTAGGGAAACCATTGGAGAAAATTCTGAAGAAGAGAATTATTCTCCACTTGGAGAGAAAATGTTTAATCAGCGATGGTCTATATCGCTTTCTCAGAGGTAGGTCATGCTTAACAAATCTGATTGAATATTTTGAGGAGGTGACCAGATGTGTAGATAAGGGCAGTGCAGTTGATGTAATGTATATGGATTTCAGCAAAGCCTTTGACAATGTCCCACATGAGAGAAAGATAAAGAAAGTAAAAGCACATGCGCTCCAGGGTAACATGTTAAGATGGATCCCAGATTGGATTAGTGATAGGAGACAGAGGATGCTGGTAGAAGGCTAATTGTGTGACTGAAGCCTGGTGTGCACTGGTGTACCATAGGGCTCAGTGCTAGGTCCCTTATTGTTTGTGATATATATAAACAGATGAGAATGTGGGGCAGGTGATATGTGAGTTTTCAGATGACATGAAGATTGATTGGATGGTTAATCATGAGGAAGAAGGTCTCAAGTTACAGGAAAATATAGACGAGTTGGTCAGATGGGTCGATCAGCGGTAGATGGAATTTTAAAACTGCATAACCTCAATTTTCAGGGTTAAAGAACTAACAAGACAGGAGAATACTCAGTGAATGGCAGGACACTGGTTAAGTCAGAGGAACAGGGATCTTGGGATGCTTGTCCACAGATCTCTGAAGTGGCAGGACAGATTAATAGGGTGGTTAAGAAGGCTTATGGGACACTTGCTTTTATCAGTTGTGGCATAGATTATAAGAACGGAGGTTATACAGCTGGAGCTGTGTGTAACTTTGGTTAGGTGACAGCTGGAGTACAGTGTGTGATTCTTCCTATTGTATGGCAAATAGAATGTGATTTGTGCTAGAGCAGCTGCAAAGGAGATTCACCAAGATCTTATGTGGATTGGAGCATTTTAGCTATGAGAGGCTTGATAGGCTCAGGTTATTTTCTGCAGAGCAGAGAATGTTTACGAGGGCCTTGTTGAGGTGTATAAGATTATGAGAGGTATGGACAAAGTGGATAGGAAGCAGCTACAAATCTATGGATGTGCAAATGAGAACTTTCCCCATTCCTCCATTGCTAAAATTGCTTGGATTCAGGCCTATGCCACCATTTTCTCCATCTGAATGAAAAGTAAGGCTCATGATTGTTAATCATGATGTGTGTGTGTGTGTGTGTGTGTGTGTGTGTGTGTGTGTGTGCGCGCTCGCGCTCAGACTATGCAATCAACATCAATTTAAACTGGGATGCAATGCCAAGCAATCTAGCATGCTTGTGAATTAAAAAAAAACTTTCCTTTTACTTTCTAAGTCACATTCATGATATATGAAAACTGCCAAGAACCAGAAAAGAATGTAGATGATGCACAAAGTAGCTGACTGTGAATACCGGTAGTAATGATAATCTCCACTGTACCACATGTGGGAATTCAGAATTGTGGATCAAATGAAAGTCGTGAATTTCAGTCTTGTCCTTCACAAGACATACTATCTTCAATTTCTGGTGTAATGTAAAATTCCATTGTTGTTCACAGAGGCATCATAAACTGAAAATTAAGGAGATAGAAAATCACTTTAGTCAACGCGGTTTCCAGCACTCTTGTTTCAACAATTTTCCCCTCGACACAGTACCCAAATTATTACTATGTATGTGTTATTTCTGGTAGGACTTTGGAATGGCGGAGGAGTTTGCAACCAAAGCACTGGAGCTGAAACCCAAGGCATACGAGGCATATTATGCCAGAGCTAGAGCAAAGCGAAGCAGCAGGTAAAGAGAGGGGGGACAAAAGTGTTTTTAATTCAGCAAAGGAAATGAAGCACTAGCTTTCAAAAGATATTGAGGTGCCTTTCATGCACTAATGTTTATTTCTGCTGACCACGTTTTGCCATCCCATTTTAGTCAGTAGGATTTTCAACTGCTTTATAATTTTTGTAGCAAAATCCAAAATGTAACAGGCTGTTTTTTCTTCTTGAGCAAGGTGTTTCGCAAGATACTATTTTGGTTAGTCATTTTACTGCAACCTTCAGCTTGAAATGTTTTTTCATTACTTGTCGGAAGTGCAATCTGTTAAGAGTGACAAGGCAATAGGATATCAGGGACCTTCATGAACATCAGCAACAACAGTTTTATCTCATTAAGTTGAGGATTGAGAAAGAGAAAAAAGGAACAACAGAAGAAAAAAATCAGATAAATTGGGTGCAAAAAGAAATTTAGAGGAAAGGGAAGATTGCTTTTTTTTTCCTTAACTTAATTCAAAGTAAAAGTTTGAAAAATTAATTGCAGTCCTGCATTTTTAAAAATCTTTTAAGGGCAATTCACTACACAAAGAAATAACACTCCATAGATTGAGTTGTTCTCTTTCTGGACCAAAGAGGTTAACTGGTGGCCATTAATAATCAACACTTAATTCAAAGGATACATGCACTAATAATGTCCAAACTTAATTTTCTGTGGAATGTTTACAGTAAAAGCACAAAATGTGAATGAAAATAACACTGTAGGTAAAGGTGAGATGTTGTTGGTGCAACGATGAAGCAATGTACCCAGTTCAGTAAATTCTGAAGATTACAACTGTATTTTTTTTAATCTCCTGGTTTTACTGGGTGTTTTGCACATTAATAATGGCATACATTGACAACAATACATTAGCTTGACAGCAAGATCTGGCCAATAATTTTTAGTGTTATAAGTAATTGAAAGGATACTCAAAGGTATGAAAAGTAAATTCAAAATTTAATTAATATTAAGCATCAGCAAATATTTTTCAAAATGATATGTTGTAGAAAAGATGCAAGTATTTTCTAAACAGTTTAAGTTTACAGTCCTCAGTCAATTAAATAAAACTTTCTAATTTAATGTCATTTCGTTCAATAAGGCACAGATAATTTATCAAAATCAGGATGAACTTTCCTCAAGTCTTTTTAAGATACTCTCCCACAAAATTGCCTAAGTTTGGTTTTCAAATACGATTCCTCCCATGCAAGCCAGTTCCATATCATTCTGCAGAGCTGATTACTAGAAACAAATGACTTTCCTGCTCTCGGGGAGGAGAGTCCCCTTGGCTACACTCTCACAATCATCGAGCATTTCTGTAATGACATTAGTATAGGTAAGGAAGGTATACGTGAGAACATAAGAAATGGAAACTGGAGTTTGTCTTTCGGCTGTTTGAGCCTGCACTATCATTAAATCATTCTATATGAATTTAATTTTCCCATATTATCCCCAAATCCCTTATTTCATTAACATTCAAAATCCTTCTGTCTTGAATAGATTTAACAATTGAGCACCCATATCTCTCTCAATTTATGCATCTCTGGAATTCTTTTTAAGCGAAAGAAGCCCTAAATGGCTAGTCCTTTATTTTGAGACTGTGACCACATATTCCAGGTTGCATGGTCAAGCCCAGTAAAAACTTTTTTGTTTCTTATTCTTTATTTTCTTATTTTTCCAAACTCCAGGAAATATAGAATTAATTTATTTAATCCCTCCTCATAGGGTAGTCCCTTCATCCCTCAAATCAGTTTATTGTTTGACATATGCAGAGAAGAAAAAAAAACCATTAGATTCCGGTAATTACTGTGTGCAAGGCAGAATCTAATTTTAGTTAGACCTTCTGTATAAGTTGTTCTGATACAAATTTATTATAACTGATGCAATAGTTTTAAGTTAATCTACATGGCCCACAAATAAATCTTGTGTGTTAGAGATGACACCATTTCTCCAAACATATTCAACATACACCATTTTCATAAAAACATTTTGGAGATTTTTTATTTGCAATTATAATACCGTAGCGAACTATCCAATCACCTTTTCAGTGAAGATAGTGTTTCCACAGGCTTTTATCCTATCATCCTCTTTGCATGCATGACTTTGAGATCCTGAATGGAACAACAGTTAACTACATAGATGGTAAAAGCTTCACATGCCCTCTCTTTTCGATTGCTTTATTTGACATAAGTGGCAAACCTGAACCATGGCTAGTCATGTGTTCACAAAGTGCTCTCTTGGTGCTGTTTGCTCTCTTGGGCAGGATACTGACCATGAGACTGAAGCTGATTGCTTATCTGCTACAACCTAAATGGATCAAGGTGCTGAAATTACAAAGCATACAGTTGAGGTGCATGATGACTCATGAGGTGGATGTCATGAAAGGTGATAGGGCAAATGATTTTGTTTCAAATTTGCTGAACTATTAAGCTTAAATGTTCACCAACTTGAACCGTGTGAACCCTTGAGCATACTAGCCGTTAGTCCTTTTGTCAGGCTCAGGTATGGTAACTGGATTAGCTGTTTGCCAGAATGGAGAGGCCTTACTTGGATCTTTGAAGCAATCAATAATGAAACAGTACATTATAATACCTGAGTTATTAAGGGGGTGAAGCAAGATCAATCAATTGCATCAATCATAGGATGTGCAATTGTGTAAATATATTCCGGATCTTTCTTCCCCTTGGATTTGAGTCTTCTGAAAGTGGTAGAATTTTATACAATGATGGAAGCCAGTTGGCCAGTTGTGCCATGCTATTTCATTGAAAAGGCTGTCCCATAAGTTTCTATCTCATAATCTTGCAAATAAATCTTTCAAGTACAAGTTATGTTTTGGAATTTCCTTGGGAATGTAATCCTATTGCCCTTCCTGATGTTGACAAATATTTCAGTAAAAAGATCATCATCAATTTCCCTATGGTTCATTTGCCAGTTACTTTAAGCCGATGTTTTATGCTTACTTTACCCAGTTTACAAAGGAATGTTTCTCCCTACTTGATTTATGAAAACTCTTCATAATTTGAATGCAATAATCTTGAATTTTGAATAATTCTAAATTTGCTTCTGAAGTCAGTGGACCCAAATCCATTCTACACCCATTCACCATCTTCCGGAAGAAAAATTATGTGTAATTGAGTCCCTTAAACTGAGGCAGGTCTATAGAGTCCAAGAAAACTGTGACTTGGGCTACCCACCTCGGAAGAGAATATTTTGCCTTGGGGTTGACAGCCACTGATAAGTATTGCCTAGAGATAAATTTTAGAACAAATAACTGAGATAAAACAATAGGTTCAATTTTAAAAGAGACAGAAATATAAAAAATCTGCAGCAGTAACTGAAGATAAAGGTAGAGCCCTTGTGTAAATACCTTTTTATCTCAACAAGTTAAAGCTACTTGAATGACAAGAACTGTAATGACTTTGACCAGACTTGGAACTGATACTGAAAACCTTATCCCAACAAGTGCTACACAGTAAAGATCAAATTTCCAAAATTCGTCATATTTAGGAATGTAATTGATGCTTCAGTTTATCATTTTGCTGCAATGGAGGACATTGAGTTTATTACAGCATTAAAAACTGAAAGAACTGCAAATGCTGCAAGTCAGAAACAAAAGCCGAAATTGCTGGAGAAGCTTAGCAGGTCTGGCAGCATCTGTGGAGAGAAATCAGAGTTAACATTTTGGGTCGAGTAACCCTTCCTCAGTTCTGAGCTTTCCCAGCAATTTCTGTTTTTGTTTTTGATTTTATTTCAATTTTGACTGTGCTGCTGCATTAATTAGATAACATCCGTTATGGAAATGCTGTAACCATTATAACCAATGTCAACGCTACGACTTCACTGAAATTTCTTAACTTTGAAGATATGATTCAATGAAGCATACAAAGATTTGGGAGATACCTTTAATAGCACACTCCCACTGTGAATTAGACCCTAATGTTGCTCATTCTGAAGGAACAGTTCAATCTGAAGACACCTTTCTATGCTTGTTCATTCTGGCAAGATATGTCCACTCCCAGTAGAGAAAGCCTTCTTGCTGTTTATAAGTTTGAATTTTATTATTTGTAGGCTTTGCATTTCGTTTTATTATTTTATGAGCCCTGAATCCCTGCCTCCCAGGTCTCCTAACCCCAAATGCCAACGTGTCCATGAGACACTATAAATGAGTAACACCAAGGATTCTGTTTCATGTGATGGTCTTAAAAGTGCTGATTTAGAAAAGCTAAGATTCTATCAAAATATAATGACAAAGCTAGCCTCCTAGAAACTGTCCTCACTGAAGTGTTGAAATGATAATAAAAGTATTTGGCTTACTGACCCAATAATTCATTTAACATCATTCTTTGTCTGTAAGTCCTGCTAGTTGAGAAGTTCATCCCAAGGAACTTGTATTGATGTCTCGTATGCAGCTGAACTTGGAATATAGTTTGTTTCCTTTGGAAAATTTCCTTTAGAGAAATCTTATTGTTAAATTAATTTAGATAATGAAGGACACCCCCTCCCCCAACACACACACACACACACACACACACACACACACACACACACACACA